TAGTAACAAAGACCACCTGAGCAAGGCAGGTGCACACGGTCTGAATCTGAGCTAAGGTCTCCTAAAGACCTGGGATAACAATAGGCACAACCGGTGCCTGAGTTGGTCCCCTTGGTGCATCCACAACTGGGACGTGATCATGAACTGGGGTGGCTGGTGGATCTGTAGGTGCTTTCCTAGTTGCTGCGCGGGTTACACCTTTGCCCCTACCATTGCCTCGACCGCGACCTCGGCCTCTCGCAACCCCAATTGGTAGTACTGGTGGTCGTCCGTCCTAACTGGTAGCATGTGTCCTCACCATCTATAAGAGAATAGAATAATAGAAGTTTAGTTACAAGAATCAACAGATTCGCACGACAAGAATTCAAGAATGTGAAGTTTTCCTAAAGGTTCTGTAGCCTCTCGAAGATAAGTACAGACGTATCCGTATCGATCCGCAAGGCTCTACTAAACTTGCTCATGACTCGTGAGACCTATGTAACTTAGGGTGTGATACCAACTTGTCACGACCCAAAAACTAACCCTTTCGTGATGGCGCCTATCGTGGTGCTAGGCAAGCCGACACACTACCAAAACAAAACGATATTTTCTTTTTCAAGATAATTCCATGGCTATTTAATATAAAACCTTCATAAGGAGTTCACATCAAAACAAAGTATGGAAAAGAAAGTCCCACATCGGGGTATCACTAGTCATGAGCATCTACTACAACTTTTCTGACAATAACGAGACTAACATAGTTTAGAAAATAACTAAATACAACTAAAGGAAGATAAGAGGGAGAAAAGAAGGGTTGCGATCGCCAGGCAACTACCTTGCTATCTCCGAGAAAACCTACAACTGGAATAGTCAACAACCGCTACCGTGTCGAGATACACCTAGATCTGCACACAAGGAGCAGGGAGTAACATGAGTACGCCAACTCAGTAAATAACACTAGCAAATAAAGGCTGAGAAGTAGTGACAGGCAGTAATGCAAATAAAGTTCATATCGCAGAAACTCAGTAAAGTACGGCATACTTTTAAAACCATAGTTTGAATTAAATCAGCTTGTGTTAAATCCAGTTCCAGTAAAATCGTTTCAAAATATCTTTTAACAGTTTTCAAACAAAGGCTCAATGCAAATGTGAGCAAAAATAGTGAAATCACAAATATCCCCTCGGGAAAACATCACCCAGATACAACCCCTCGGTCAAACCTCACCATTACTCATGCCTCCCAGTCACTCAGCACTCGGCACTCCCACTCAGTAGGTACCTGCGCCTACTGAGGGTGTGTAGACTCCGGAGGGGCTCCTTCAGCCCAAGCGCTATAACAAGACAATCATGGCATAAATCAATCAGGTCCTCAACCTCACTCAGTCATGAATTAGTAAAACATGTTGCGGCGTGCAGCCTGATCCTATAAATATCCTCACAAATCAGGAACCTCGGCCTTACTCAGTCATAAACCTCTTCAGCCTCTCGGGCTCTCAGAATAACAAAGTTTTCAGCCCAAACAACATTTATATGATGCATCAAAAGTAGAGCAATAAAGACTGAGTTATGAAATAAATAAGTATAAACATGCCTGAGTATAGATTTTCGATCGAAAATAATGATAGGATAACAAGAAAATACCTCTAAGGGTCCAAACAACACTGGCATAAGGCCTAAACATGGCATCCGGCCTGATTTACGGAAGTTCTTTCTAAAACAAGTGAGAAGCATGTAGTTTCAACAAAATATTCAACTTTACAGTAGATACGGGACGGACCAAGTCACAATCCCCAACGGTGCACGCCCACACGCCTGTCACCTAGCATGTGCGCCACCTCAAAATAGTCACATGACACAAAATCCGTGGTTTCATACCCTCAGGACTAGATTTACAATCGTTACTTACCTCAAATAGATCAAATCTCTATTCCGCGATGCTCTTGCCCCTCGACTCGGTTTCCAAATGCTCCGAATCTATTCACAATCAGTACAATACCATCAATATATGTTAAAGAAATAATTTCCACAAGAAAAACTACCAAATTAGACAAAGAACCCGAAATCGGCTCAAACCTGACTCCCCCAAGCCCACGTCTCAAAATCCGACAAAAATTACAAAACTTGAAAGCTCATTCACTCACGAGTCTATCCATACCAATTTCATAAAAATCCGACCTCATTTGGTCCCTCAAATCCCCAAATTTCTTCCTCAAGAACTCTTCCATTTTTTCCCCAATGTTTCATCCCGATTCTCAATTTAGATGATAGAAATCAAGATACAATCACGGAATTTAACCAAAATTAAGTGAAGAACACTTACTCTAATCAACTCCCTGAAAATGCCTTCGAAAATCGCCCAAATCTGTGGTCTCTAGCTCAAAATATGAAAAATGGGCTCAAACCCTCAATTTTGAATATATAACACTGTGTGCCCAAATTTTACTCTTCGCGAACGCGGCCTCCTTCTCTCGTCCGCATAGAACAACTCCACTGCCTCCTCACTTTACTCTTCGCGAACGCGATGCCTTACCAACTCAACCTTCACGAACGCGACCACAACCTAATTAACGCATAGAACAATGGACCCGGGGTCCCCAACTGCCTCTTCTCTTCTTCGCGAATGTGTTACTCCTCTCGTGTTCACAATGCACTCCACCTCTGAACCTTCGCGAACGCGTCCCATTCTTCGCGAACGCAAAGAGAAAAACATCATCAGCTCACCTTAACCCTTCGCGAATGCGGTAGCCTTCTCGCGAACGCGATGAAGAAAATTTCTGCTACAAAATACCAGAAAATCTACCAACTTCTAAAGCCAAGAAATGATCTGTTAACCACCCGAAACTCAACTGAAGCCCTCGGGACCTCAACCAAACATACCAACACATCCCATAACATCATTCAAACTTAGTCGAATCTTCAAATCACTCAAAACAACATCAAAACACCAAATTACCCTCGGATTCAAGCCTAAGAACTTCTAAACTTTCAAATTTCACAAACGACACCGAAACCTATCAAATCACGTCCGAATGATCCCAAATTTTGCACATAAGTCACAAATGACACCACAAACCTACTCCAACTTCCGGAATTTCATTCCAACCCCGATATCAAAATTTTCACTGCCGGCCAAAATCGCTAAAATTCCAACTTTCGCCAATTCATGCCTAATTCTACCACGCGCTCCAAATCACAGAATCATTAAAATTCAAATCCGAGGTCGTTTACACATAAGTCAACATCCGGTCAACTTTCCCAATGTAAGCCTTCACAAAAGAGATTGTGTGTCTCAATTTACTCCAAAGCCACTTCGAACCCGAACCAACTAACCCGGTAAGTCAAAATACAGCTGACGAACGCAAAAGAAGCAGGAAATAGGGAAACGAGGCTATAACTCTCAAAACGACTGGTCGGGTCGTTACAGTCAGTATTTCTTGATTTTCAGCTGATGGTACTACAGACATACAAAAAATTATTGGATTTAAATCCAATAAATTAATTTGGTCTATATATTAAATATATTAGTTCAAAGACGAAATACATAATGGCCCCTTTAAGTTGTCTAATATAATTGGCATACTCAAGTACAATATGTATTGATTAAATAAATAAGTCTTAATCCATTAGGCTAGCCCATTGGGCTAAAGTGAGAATCCACTTCATTAAGCCCAAGATGTCATCTTCCTAGAGGCCCAATGCCACATGTCGAATGACGTGGCACACCAAGTCAAACGGATGAGCCAATAGGGTCATGCCACATGTCAAAATGACAAGGCATACCAAGACAAATTAAAAGACCAATGAAATCGCGCCACATGTGCAAGTGACATGTTCTGGCCAATCAAATGCGGCTTTGTCACACTTCAATTTAATTGGCCGGAAAGGGTTTATTCGTATCATAACTCTTCCCTCCCACAACTATAAATATGAGTCTTCATAACTCAAAAAGGGGACCAGAAGTTGTAATAAAAAAAAAGAGAGAGCTCGTGGATCAAACGCCGTAAATTTCTCTGCAAATTTCAAGCTTCAAGAAATCAAGTCCAAGTTCGAGAAATCAAGTTCAAGCTCAAGAACGAAGAACAAATCAAGTTCAAGCTCAAGAACGAAGAACAAATCAAGGTTGAAGGAGTACGAGTTCAATCAAAGTTCGTGCTAGTTGAATCCAAGATCACCGTCTGTGGCAACAAATATAGATGCAAGATCAAACTCAAGGGCCCTTGAATTTATTTATTATTAGAAAGAAAAATCAGAGGATTCATAGAGATTGTAACACTCAAATATTCGAAATAAAATACTACAATTATTACAATATTTTTCGGTCTTGATTTTATTTTCTCGACGCAATTTATTATCTACAGGTACTGATATAGTGTTTCTTTTCGTCGTCTTGAGCCGAAAGTCTTTCAGAAACAGCCTCTTTACCCTTTCGGGTAGGGGTAAGGTCTGCGTGCACACGACCTTCCTCAGACTCCACTTATGAGAATTTAATGGATTATTGTTGTTGTTGTTGTTGTTGTCGTCGTCGTCTATAATAGTAGTATAAACTTTGTGATAATGGCAAGTAAAAGAGAAAGGACAAAAGAAGGGCAAAAAAGATTAGCATTTCCGCGCCAAATTTTGAGAGTCAAAATTATATTGACCGTCGAAATAATCTTTTCGACTTCAGTTTTAAGGAAGTAAAAATTAAAATTCTTGTTAGTATTTTCAGCCTACTTTCTCAAACCTGTATTACTAAACTTAAAAAATATTTAAGTCAAATATCAAGCTATATACTGGTTCAAAGACCATCAAAGTCAACTTGGATAATTGAGAGTAGGAGTACTAAACACGTGTGCAGAGGAGGCCAAACAAAAGAATCTATATGCAAATATTCTTCCTTCCTTTCTTACCTCTTAAATTCAGATTAAAATAACCCCACATTTTCAATTCCTACAACGTTCTTGACGAGGTAATAGGTACAACTTAGAGCAATTTCAGATAAGTAAGGCATTTCAATAAAATATCAAAGAACCTCTGATACAAGCCACTGTCATCAGGATTTCTAAAGAGATGTCCAATTTCAAATGCAAAACAACGTCCTGAACACTTATAAAATCTTTACTTTTTTGGAACGTTAAATATAACCGAGTATGTAAGTGGACTGTAATCCTATATAAGGAATATAAATATAAAACATGTTGCTAACTTAGAACTATATAACAGAATTCTTATCAATTACTTATCAACCACAAACAACAACTGCGCTCAATTCCAAGCAGGTTGTATTCAGCCATATGAATCCTCATAGTCCATGTCGTTCTACTACTCAATCTATATTTCTATAATGTGTCAGACAATCTACTGTGGAGTTACCTTCACGACATTGCTCTGGACTCCATCTTGTGATTGTTCTCTCCTCAACACCATAACTATTCAAGCAAGATGGAGAAGCTGCATGCTTTTTCTGTTCGACAATATTAAGAACAAGCAACGTTTTCGCTACACTTCCACATAGTCGAAGAGTGCACTGGAAGTCAGACCAAATCCTCAAACGACCATTGGCATTACCATTTTGTGCTGATAAAACAAGCACAGCATATTCAGAATGAACCAAAGCTGGATGATGACGATAGGCAACAAAGTCCACTCCATACTGAGACCCCAATCTGACCACCCAATTTTTACTTCTTAGGTGAGAATAGGCTTTATATGAAACAGGAAAATTTTCCCTCTTGGATGTCATATACTTCCATAACTCATCAATGTTCTGTTCACAGTCATTGTGGTTTACAATCTTGATGCAGTTTAGAGAATGGTATAGATAAAAAGCTTCCTCCATACAGAGTTGAAACCATTGTTCATTATTTTCTGCTGTAATCCTTGGCCTACCAAAACATGCACGATTGAGGAGGTCGGTTTGTACAGTATCAGCTTTAAGAAGTACACTCATACCGGAGAGCATCCCTCGAGAATTTGATTGGATCAGTGAAGATTGAAGCTGGGAAACTATCTCTGAAATGGGATCCGCAAGAGCTTTGGCTGCAGCACCCTTTCCTTTCCACCTTGGTGCCATTACAACTGCCAGATTCGTATTTATAACTGTCAAAGTAAAATCTGTAACCAAAAAACGGAGTAGTACAGTGGACCATAGGCATGTAAAGTCTCTCTTGACAATGTTCCAAGATTTAAGTTAGTATATCTTACAGATATTCTTTTCTGTAGTATCTTAAAGATTATTTGCGGATCACTTTCCAACTGGCAATTAATTCATGGCATCTCTTATGAACAACACAGCTGCACTGAGATCCATGAGATTGTTTTGAATTTCGCACTGTCAAAGCACATCCAGGTACTATGGCATTTAGCCAGGCAACTATACTTGCTTCAACTATAGGGTGCATTTGCTATGGGGAAAACTGTAATCACTAGAGTATATTTGAGAACCCCTAGTGTTAGATAATCCTTAAGTACGGAATATTGAAATACTACGGACCCAAGCATAGCATTTATGATAATAAAGATTCATACAACCGATCCCAACTAGCTCGGGATTGAAGAATATCTATCTCATATTTGTATAGAAAGATGAATTCGTCCATAAGTGATGGAAGTCAATTTCCTCCCTTTTTCGTGAAAAATGTTATCCATAACTTAAGGTAACCAAACACATGGAATTTATCTCATCAAGGGAAATATCTCCGAGCCATGCCAAAAACACCCTAGATCTAGACTGCGGACTTCTTCAGAAAAAATAGAAAAAAAAAAAAGGGGGCACCAAAATGATTTATGAAAAGCAATAGTAAATTAACCAATCAATAACGCATAAAAAGTGCATGATAAGACCTGAAGAGCTAGATTCACAGCATGTCAAACTTTTTTTTTGTTGCTCTAAGTATCCGAAACTACTGGTCTAACTAATCCAGATTCATAGGGAAAAGCCCACTAAGAAGGGGGGAGCAAATTACTCGCTCCCTAAAGGTTTTCCATATCCTACACTTAAAACCCAAGACTTCTAGCCAAGGAAGCGGGAGAAAAGTCCATTAAGAAGGATGGGGTCCACCCCAAATTTTTTTCATATTCTAGACTTAAAATTAGAGATTTCTGGTCAAGGAAAGAGGATCTCTGCCATCCTACCACACCCTTTGGAATATGTCAAAGAGCAAATAACTGATAGGATTAACAACTAAAATAAGAATCACAACAATATATGATACAACAATCAGTGAACCATATTCTCAGTAAAAGGGTGCAATTTAAACTATTTATATGTAACGAACGACTTATTTACTGTAGATATATATTGTTCGGGCACGTGAAGAGGAGAGACATAGAAGCTCCGGTCAGAAGGTGTGAGAGGTTGTCCATGGCGGTTTGAGGAAGGGAAGGTTAGGCCTAAGAAGTATTGGGGAGAGATAATTAGGCAGGACATGTCAGCTTACCGAGGATATTGATAGAAGCCATGGAAGATCAATTGAAGCTAGAACGGAGAGAGAGAGATTCAGAGAGAAAATAAGAGAAGAAAAGAGCTAAGTTTCTTCATTTCTGAATGAATCAATTCTGTACAGGTAGCTACAGTATTTAACAACTAACCGCCTCTAACAAACTCATTAACTAACTAACTCTAGTTAACGTTATAATTAAACTTAACTACCGTTAACTATCAGCTTGTTACACAACTGCTAGTCAACACTCCCCCTCAAGCTGATGATTCAAACAAGTTCTTCAGTCCAATTTTGTTCAGCAGGTACTCATGTTGAGCTTTCCCCAATCCCTTTGTGAGCAAATCAGCTAGTTGATCTTCTGTATTTACATGTTCAGTTCTTAGCAGTCCCGGACTAATTCTTTCTCTTACAAAGTGGCAATCTATGTCAATGTGCTTTGTTCTTTCATGAAATATTGGATTCGCAGCTATTTGGATTGCTGCTTTGCTATCACATATCAGTGTTATTGGCAGTTCAATCTTGACACCTAGCTCACTGAATAAACCTGTTAACCAAGTAACTTCTGCTGCACATGATGTCATACTTCTAAACTCTGCTTCTGCCAAACTTCTGGAGACAATACTTTGCTTCTTAGACTTCCAGGATATTAGTGCATTCCCAAACTTGGCTAAATACCCTGTAACTGACCTCCTTGTCTGTATGCATGCCCTCAATCTGAGTCACAATAAGCAGTCAGTTTACTTGAAGATTCTGATGGCATAAGCAGTCCCAGACCTGGTGCCTCCTTTATATACCTTACTACCCTCAGTGCTGCTTCCATATGAGAGACTTTAGGGCAATGCATGAACTGACTGAGCACTTGCACCACAAATGCAATATCTGGCCTGGTCATAGTGAGATACAACAACCTCCCTACCAGTCTTTGATAGGCACCAGGGTTCTTGAGAGCTTCATCTGAGTAAGTACTATTGGTATTGAAGCACTTATCAAATTCAGTGGTTGTCAACTTTTGGTTCAGCTCTAATGGTGTTCCAGCTGGCTTTGCACCACTTAGTCTTGACTCAGAAATTAACTCTATTGCATTTTTCCTTTGACACATGAGAATTCCTTGTTTAGACCTCGCAAACTCAATACCTAGGAAGAAATTTAGCTCTCCTAGATCCTTCATCTTGAACCTTTTCTTGAGATCTGATCTGGTTTCACACAACAATTGTTGATTGTTCCCAGTGATCAAAAGATTATCTACATATACCAGTATGACCACTATGTCGCTCCCAGCCTTCTTTGTGGACAAGGAATAGTCATAATGACTGCTGAAACCCCATACAAACTAGGGCTTCTATCAATTTCATATTCCATTGTCTTGGAGCCTGTTTAAGTCCATAGAGGGACTTATGAAGTTTGCAGAGCTTCTTGTGATTCTCCCCCTGTCTAGCAAACCCCTCAGGCATATGCATAAAAACCTCCTCAACAAGATCACCATTGAGGAAGGCATTATGAACATCCATATAAAAAATCAACCAATGTTGAGAAGTAGTTAAGGCAATTATGGATCTGACAGTAACTATCTTAGCTACAGGAGAGAAGGTTTCACCATAATCTAAACCTTCCTTTTGACTGTATCCCTTAGCAACCAGCCTAGCTTTGAATCTTTCTACCTCCCCAGATGCTTTGTACTTGACTTTATACACCCACCTACAACCAATGAGTGTCTTTCCTGGTGTAAAGTCCACAACACTCCAAGTTTTATTGTCCTCTAGTGCAGCAATCTCCAACTGCATAACTTTCACCCACCTAGGATCAGTAGCAGCCTCTTTGAAAGTGGTAGGTTCTGTAATAGCTAAGTAGGCTGTGAGGGCCTGTCGAAAGGTTGGAGAGATATGTGAATAATCAACATAGGAGGAAATAGGATAAGTGCATTTTGAGCCTTTAGAGAGAATGGCATAGTCCTGCAACCACACAGGTGGTTTGCTTGGTCTAGAAGATCTTCTGCATCCTTCAAGATTCTCAGCAAGGTTAGATTGACCAGCAGATGATTCAGCACAACCATTGTCTTGAAGACTTGGCATAGTAGAAGGAAT